TTTATTTTTCTAATTTACAGCATTCAAAATTTCTAACATAGATAAAATATCACAATTTTTATTAAAAAGATTATTTTTCAAGATAATGAGGTCACGTGCGCATAAAATTTATTGTGCCTAAAATTCATGATAATAAGCAGAAATAATTATTTCATTTTATTTTTAAAAAGAATGGATTATTTTTCGAGACAATGAGATCACTTACACACAAAACTGATAAAATAAAGATCCTAGACGGAAATATCACTATTTATTAAAAATAGACTGTTTTACAGAAAGACGATGTCACTTACACACAAAACTTATAAAATAAAGATCCTGGACGGAAATATCACTATTTATTAAAAATAGACTATTTTTCAGAAAGACGATGTCACTTACACACAAATCTTATAAAATAAAGATCCTGGACGGAAATATCACTATTTATTGAAAACACACTATTTTTCAAGAAGACGATGTCACTTACCCACAATTATTTGAGAGGGTGCTTCCGATAAAAAAATTCGGTTCGAGAGAGAAGTTCACTGTGTTTCGATCAGAGAGAGATCTCAAAATTTTGTTTTAAGGTGGGAGTGCTCACATCCCCTATTTAAATTCTTATAACGTATTATTATATTATTTTCTTACGCTCTACCTCATACCTGAGGTGTCGCGTTAAAAGCAGACTTTTATCGTACGAAAACCACGTCCGCTAAAGGACGCTGCCAGCTACAAGCAGCAGGAGGCAAAAGCGGGCAAAGGAAAAAAAGTAAAGGCAAAGCAAAAGTTAATCCAAAGCCAAAGTTTTTGAAAACAGTGATGGTCCTCAAGGACCATCATATTCAAACAGAACATCACCTATTTAAAAGCATATTTTCTCCTTTTTTTTTTTTTTTTTTTTGAAATTTTAGGATTGTTACACTTGGCCTTATACAAACCGCACCCTTAAGACAATGCCAAATTTTTATTTTCTGATACATATTTAGTTACAATAAAAATGACAGTATTATGTGGGCAATGTATATATCCAGGTACATGCCTCGTAAACCCAATCCTCTCTCTCAGCATGATTATTGACTTTCTTCTTTTTATAAAAAACTTATTCCCTTTGGTATTTTTTTAAATTTATCTTAACCCAAATTCTCTCTTTTACCCAAGATTCTCTTACCCAACATTTCAATCTCTTATTTTATTTTGGATTGTTAAAATTATAATTTTTTACTATTTAAAATAATTTATGCTAATTGCAGATAAGGGATTCAAAATTTGCTTATATTTTAA